GAGAATCCGTCTTAGTGTATTAGGATTTCAAACCACACTTCATTCCACGTCTGCTCTCGGTTTGATGGTGAGCTGTTTGATAAAAGCTCTCCATCAGGTTCAGCACAGAGTTTTCTTTAGGACTCCTGACACTTTTCTCTGAATGATTAAGTTGTTTTTCAAAACTTGCTACTTCACTGTACATTATAGGTGAATAAAGAGTGTTTATATCGGGAGCGTACAACAGAAAACTACTGTAATGTTGGTTTATATTATATATACATTTGTCCTAAAATAAAGTGAAAGTAGTTTTTGTTAAGCACCTAATTGTGTAACTGTTGGTGTTACAGCATGTAACAGCTGTAAGAGTCAGCAGGACTCTGTAGCACTGTGAAGCCAAGGCTGTGGGTTTTAATGTTTAATCTAGGGCCAATATCAGGGTTCAGGAGGTTAAATCAATTTCAATAATAAAAATGATGAAATACTATAATCTTTTTAAGCTTGAAACCCACTTCAGCTCAGTGTTGGGAGGCAAGTCTTCTAATGGATCTGTGCAGATTACATCCACTTAAAAAGCTGCCCTCAGCCTTTCTACTTGCATTAAGCATGTGTAAGAAGTGAGCAGCAACCTGCTCTGTAGCTCAAGCTGAAAATTAACAACTCACCATAGAGATAAGTCATTATTTGAACAGAGACAGACATGTTTTCAGTTTGTACACTATTATGAACGATGTTATGTTGTGATCTGCCATGCATTTGACTCTACACAGAGCAGCACCAGCTGATAATTAATCAAAATGTCAAAAGGCTGCATGGGCTTTCACTGAAATGGTGGGAAAAAAATAAGCTTTCACATTTACCTTCAGTTCATGAGATAGGTTACATTTATAAAACGTGATGTTAAGATGCTGCTGCAGTAAAGTGAAGGGAACGAGTGAAAAGAACCGTGCGGTGACTCACATTGGTGACTGCATCGATGTTGGCTCCGGCCAGGCAGAGATGTCGGACCACCTCAAGGTTGCCGCTGTTGGCAGCCAGGTGGAGGGGAGTTCTGCCGTGCTGCGTGACGAGAGAGAAATATTAAAGAGAAGTTTTCAGTCAGGACCAAGTAACACGTGGCAATAAAGTCACCCAGAAAGTACTGGCTATGGTCAGCCTTATCCTAAAAGAACTATCACGTCTGTAAATTAAAGATTTAAAATGTTTCTAGGGCAAAATCTTCAGGCTTTCGTATAAAAAAAATAAAAAAAAACTACAAAAGAGAAAAAATATACATTTAAAATACAATAAAATATAATATACTGGAGACAGACAAAACAATGGGGGTGGGGCACAACTGGAGCGCAGGAGTATAAAACTTTAGACCCCACTATAAAAAGTCATTCATTGAGAAATCCTTGTTCATACCTCCTGGAAATAAACTCTTAAAATCAAAAATCCAAAATGCCTCTCTTCATATTCCCACCTCTTAGTCTAGGCATGATCACCCTTAGGCCGGTGAAGAATGATGACAACATGGGGTGTTTTGAAACAAACTGTCTTGCAACTGTCAGGTTCGGTAACATCATTTCTCTCTATAGCGCTTCTGTGTTCCGTGATACACTCTTTAAGTGAGCAAGATGTCTTCCCTTTATATACTTTTGCACTTCTCTGGAACAAGAAATAAAGCTTTGGAAAATATAACTGCAAATGAAAATTGCTTAAATCAATTCCCGTTTGTCACAACTTGGGAAAAAAGCAAGAAAGCATTAAAGATATTCAATTCTGCAGCAAACAAAACAAGGCATTCTGAATTCCACCCCTCGTTTTTCTCCCCAGTGTGTGCAGCTGACAGTGAAGACAAATCCAGGCACAGATTCAGCTGTGTGTGACATGCAGCTTTAGACAAGCTTTAAAAAAAAAACAAAAAAAAAACAAACTAGTAGCGAGTGAACATAATGAATAAATCACACCATCTCCAACCGTCTGCTTCTGATGCACATCACTTTCCTGAACTGTGTTGGGAATGTTTCATCGTGCAAGAAAAAGCTGAGAGGGTTACACCAGCCGTGTCTAAGAAAAGCAATCCCATTGCAGAATGCATTAAATAGGATGGTGTCAAAATAGAATGTGAAATCACCAAACTCAGAAACATGTGTGGGAAGTCGTGCGTGGCAGGGCAGGATGTGTTCTTCAGTCAAATATAAACCAAATATGTGAGAGCTCCCTTAAAGGAGCAGTTAGCCCAAGTAAGAAAGCTGCTTTTCAGGGTGACAGATCCCAAGCCAAAAATGCTATGTTAGCAAATGTTAGGACACCTCAGAGGAAGTCTAAATTTAATCTACTACCACAGCAGACCTACGTTAAATATTTCACAAGCCATATCCTGAACGCCAGGTTCATGACCGCAGACTAGATTAGAGTGGATCAATAGGTATAAATAGGCTGTCTGCATGTGTTTGCACGTAACAAATCATCATTTCTGTAATATGTTTGCTTTCTGTTTGGCCTGTGATTAGCACTGGGCTAGCTCGGATGAAACAGCTAAACTACACAGCCAAAAGTGAGTGGACACCTGAGTCGTACTCACTGCACAATCATATAAAATCTGGTTTACCAGTGTTCTGTGTATCCGTTTACCACCAATATCTTGAAAGAACATTATAAAATAAGAAAATTCACCAAACTCAAAGTGGACAATCTCCTGTTGTACTGGACATGTTTAGCAACTAGATGTCAAGAGGCAGCATCTCAGTTGAGTACATGTGAGGACTGCGTTCCAGAAAGACCAACTCATATGCTGTCATTCATATGTTGGACCAACATGTTCTAACAAAGCATGGGTGTGGCAGGAAGATGTTTTCCTCACCTTGTTGGGGAGGTCGAGGTTGGCCTTGGCGCTGCAGATCGCCATGACGATTGGCAGGTTTCCATCCTTACAGGCTATGTGTAGTGGCGTGTTTCCATGGCGATCCTGCTGGTCCAGGTGGCACTGGTGTTTGAGGAGGCAGCGAACCACTTCGATCTGACACCTGCGTACGGCCAGGTGGAGGGCTGTGTGGCCGTCCTGCAAACACAGACACACAAACCACATTGGAAAACCTCAGTGTCTCTTAACTGCTGAATTTCTATTCTGTGCCACACAGGGGTGAATGATGCCCTGAGGTTCCTTTTTAAACGTCTTTTTATCTGTCCAGTCTCAGATGCATGATTTGTGGCTTTTATCAGAGATTCAATCTATAGTAAATTTGTTTGTCTTAACTTCCAGCTACGTGGATTCCCTGAGGGCATCATGTCAGTGTTACTATCACACTCATTATGCGTTTCATTTGCTTGTTGTAACCTATCAGACCTGTTTGTTCTCATGTGTTTGCTGCAGTGCACTGGTGAGCACACTAATGTACCCTCTGGGTATTAATAAAATCATCTATCTATTTGGCTTAGCAGTGTAATGGGAGCAACCAAATGGGAGGCAACCTCGAGGCAGACCCAGAAGACTGAGGATCTGGAAAGCCCTGCAGGAAAAGGGACTCCTGACCTGAATAAGGAGTAAAATGTTCAACAGACTCGACGTGCATCTAGATGGCGCTGTTACTGAACGCCGTATGTTTTAGTGAAAAGTCAGGATATTGTATGTAAAGCTGAACTAAATCATGCACCCATTAGAAACGTTGTGGTGAGCTGAAGTTTTAAAGAGCTCATCACCTTGTCAGTTGCCTCCAGATCGGCCCTGTGCTCCACCAGGCACTCCACGATGTCCACAAAGCCCCGAGCGGATGCTGTCAGCAGTGGGGTCTCGCCCTCGCGGTTCTTGGCGTCTACATGGCAGCCTGCCTGGCAGAGTGCTCGGGATACTGCCGAGTAGCCATGCCAGGCGGCACAATGCAGTGGGGTCTCCTGCTCCTGGAGATGGAAACACAGAATGCAAAAGAATAAAACTTTCATCCTTTGGTTGAAGCAATGGCTCCCCCAAGGGGTGGCTTGGGGGGAGGATTATGTTCACACATGAATTTTAGATCAAACTGTTAAAATGGAATTCCATGTTGGTTGTTAAATTATAAGAAGAAAGAAATTGAGTATGAAATCTGATGTGTGTTTTCCAATTGAATCAGAACTTAAGGTCAGACATTTTGGCATCCAAAATTCATTTTTTAAAATTCTATAGAATACACATACAAAATTAAAACCACTTGTAGAATTTTCAGCCACCTAGAATCTTGACATTTGAAATACCATTTCATTTCCAGACGATGGAAATGAAAGACAGTTGCGATTCAAAAATGAAAGACAGTTGCAAATAATATGAAATATGATGTGATGGACATAAATGAAGCCTTTATGATCAGCTAATAATAATATTTATGTTGAAGGTCATTTGGCTGAATGCGAATGTGTGCATGTGCTTACCCTGTCAGCCAGGTCTGGGTTGGCCCGGATGCTGCACAGGTAGCTCACCACGTCCACGTTGCCATAACTTGGTGAAGGGGGGCTGCTGCGGTCTGTAGCCATAGTACAAGGGAACATTAATGTAGCCCAAGTATGAAATACTTGAACAAATTCAGTGTTATTTCTGGGAAAAGACTTTAGCTTATGTTAAAACAAGTTTACAGTTCACTGTATGTTATGAAAGGGTTAATATCTTGGCGCCGCTGGTTGACTGTGAGGGGACCAATCAGTAAGCCGAATGGCGAATGGAATAGTTGGCGCGCACTAGTTCCGCATTCCAATGTCCATGTTTTCCGGTTTTCTTTGTCTCTCAATGGGTACTCCGCCTGTGTGCTGCTCAGAGAAATGGCAAGGACCCTTTTTGTGTCATTTGCGTGGAAAGACATTGTATAACGGGGCGCATAACCGAAGCACCCGCTGACCAGCCGATGTAGAAGGGAAAAAGTAGTGGGATAACTACTCAATGGTTTTGTTGGGGGGGGGGGGGGAGGCGGTAGAAAGCCTCTCATCTGTTCGGAGCTCCTTCCTGGAAGAAGTTGGATCGGGAATACCCACTGGATACTCGGTGGCGAGCCAGGGGAAAGCCTCAAGAGGCACTGATTGGGAGAAGGACTTTTGTAATCCAGTTCACTGCGGAGCTGGTAGGATCCCAACGATCTGGCATTTATTTGGAGGGCGGGCCTTTTTTCCCCTTTTGTTGTTAAATTCTGTTCAATGATTTAGTGCGCACTTTACCTCATTTGTTTCTAATTGTTGTATTATAGTGTGTTTGGTTACATTGTGTTAATACATTTTGAGTTTCATAAACGCAATTACTGTGTCACTCCTTATTGATATTCAAAATCTGGCTCCTTGGGAATTTGGTCCCTTCTGGTACTGGTCCAAATTTGACGTTTCCTTTGAATCTCCAACTGTATCCATCCAACCAGGATTTAGGTGGGGATTACATTAAGAAAACATCAGTAAAATGTTAAGTTCAGCATTTAAGCGTAAAAGATTACATATGAAGAAAAAGATTTTAAAGGCATCAGAACTTTAAGGACTGCAAGGAGTCAGCAACTTTACAAAACGTCCACTTAAAACAGGACTTGCAAACATCACATGCATAAAAAAAACTAATCTGATCTGTTAGGTATTTTTAGTCAGATAGAAATTAGATAGATACTTTATGTATTAGAAATGTTTAGTGGAGATAGGATGTCTAGTTAGACTGTTAAATGCTTAGTCATGCTTATGAGTTTCTACAGGATACATCTGGTCAAGGATAACTAGAGAGAAGAGTTGATGACTGTCAGCAGACAGGATGTTTAATATTATTATTATGACGTGTATAACTGTAGCCTTAGCCATAATATGTTCTTGTGTTTAAGTCACGACATGTTACTAGAAGTCGTGTGAGAATGTTTTTAGCTACACACCACTTAATCAACAGACACACACATTCACACATTGACTTGCTTCATGTTTTGACTACTGCTATGACCAGCTGCAAAGCTGGCAACAGAGACGTCTCTGTTGACGTTTCTGTGTAGTATGGGGCTAGCCCAACCGAGGGGATATAATGTATAGGCCTGGTTTGGTTCAGGGTCTTTCATCTTACATCTGCCTGCGAGCAGGTTGGAGGTGCAAGATGCCTGAGCGTGTAATGTTAATTTTACCTGTGTTCATGGAATAAATCGGCACTGTTTTGTAGTCACTTGGACTGCCTCGTCTCTCAGAGTCAGTATGGTAAAAAGTACCGGGTACAACAGATCCAACAGCTCTAAAGTAATGGCTGCCAGTGAAAGCAGGCGTTCCTGAGCAGAGAAGTTGCTTTTGTGAAACACTCAAGACTGTGTTCCTGCCTGCAGGTGGGAAAGTAAACTGAAATAATAACTAAATGACAACTACTGCATTTATGTAGGGAATTTTAAGATGTACAGATCTATTTAATTAGAGGATTATATGAAAGCACAGCAGAGAGGAAAGATTCACCTCGCTAACAAGGTGATGAAATGGTTTCCCCCTCCTAACGTGGCTGCACACAGACACCTCGGCTTGTGATTTCAGGGTTACAGTGTCATGAAGTAAGACAATTTTAATGATCCTTGGACAGGAAGTAGATAATAATCCGCAAGGTTCCTGGAGTGCAGATTAGCTCTGGTTTGGTGGAGGACTGCGTTCACAGACAGAGGACGCCGCTGGCTACAATGATTGAAGAGACTTTCTGTGATGGTGGCTACACCAGTATTAAAGCAAACACACACACACAACCCATCTTTCTCAGACCTGTTTCTATAGCAACAGCAAATAAGCTGATAAAATGCCAAAGTAACTGGTTTTCTCCCCCCTGGTGCGAACTGTGGTGAGCGTGAATGTGTGAGTCTGCCTGAGTGTTTCTGGGCATTCTGAAGAACCAAAGTAATCCTTCTCTGGAGGTTTGAGGAGTTAGAGTGTGTGAGTAATTGCTGATAGATACCAGAATGTGGTGAGTAGTAGCAAGTGTGTTTGCATGCATGTGTATGAGACAGGGAAAAGGAGCCGTATGATTCACCTTATCTTGGACGTCCAGAGGGCAGCTCTTTTCATGAAGGAATTTCAGGGTCCCAACATGGCCGTGTCTTGCTGCGTAGTAGATAGCGTTGGCTCCACTCTGAAGGACCCAGAAGACAGAACATTTCAGGATTCATCCCTGACCTTTACTATAAAATCATGTTCTCTTGAACTGTGTCTGCAGCCCAATGATATGAACATGACAATACCGCACAGCATGTTCCTGTCAAACAACCTGGGACAATGTCGATGTGTCAGCAACCTGCCTTTAGAGCTGCACTCGCCAGTCTGTTGTTGAATGACAGCTAACTGTTTAAACCTGAACCTGCCAGAGATACAGTAACACTGTTTAGTCATTTGCACATAATTTGCTCATGTTTGATGCCCTGACTGCTCTGTGATGATTTATAGCAGACAAACCTGTTGCTGTTCATCACCTGATGTAGACAGACAAGTAAAATCAGACCTTAATTTGTACAGACAGGGAGGATATATAGCATCTCGTTCTGAAACGGAGGATTCTCTCAGGTGACGCCCACTTTCCATTGCAAGTCTATAACGGTAATCTCAGGTTTCTATGAAGGTAAACCTAACGCCTTTGGGTTCAGACAAGAAAAGACATTTAAAGATAGCACCTTGAGCTCTGGGAACTTGTGATGAAGAGTTTCCACCATTTTTATTTACAGGGCAAATGATTTGTCTATATTTGACCTGTTAGTTTTATCCCTACTTGTAATGTGTATAAAACTACTTAAATACCTCAGTTTCAAATTGCAAATCATAAATTTAGGCAACATCATTTTGTAAAACAGTAACACCATAAATCATATAATTAAAATACGATTCCACTGAAAGATTATTAACAATAACACATACAGTGGGTACAGAAAGCATTCAGACCCCCTTAAATTTTTCACTCTTTGTTATATTGCAGCCATATGCTAAAATCATTTAAGTTCATTTTTTTTCCTCAATGTACACACAGCACCACATATTGACAGAAAAACACAGAATTTGACATTTTTGCTGATTTATTAAAAAAGAAAAACTGAAATATCACATGGTCATAAGTATTCAGACCCTTTGCTGTGACACTCATATATTTAACTTAGGTGCTGTCCATTTCTTCTGATCATCCCTGAGATGGTTCTACACCTTCATTTGAGTCCAGCTGTGTTTGATTATACTGATTGAACGTGATTAGGAAAGCCACACACCTGTCCATATAAGACCCTACAGCTCACAGTGCATGTCAGAGCAAATGAGAATCATGAGGTCAAAGGAACTGCCTGAAGAGCTCAGAGACAGAATTGTGGCAAGGCACAGATCTGGCAAAGGTTACAAAAAAATTTCTGCTGCACTTAAGGTTCCTAAGAGCACAGGGGCCTCCATAATCCTTAAATGGAAGACGTTGGGGACGACCAGAACCCTTCCTAGAGCTGGCCGTCCGGCCAAACTGAGCTATCGGGGGAGAAGAGCCTTGGTGAGAGAAGTACAGAAGAACCCAAAGATGACTGTAGCTGAGCTCCAGAGATGCAGTCAGGAGATGGGAGAAAGTTGTAGAAAGTCAACCATCACTGCAGCCCTCCACCAGTCGGGGCTTTA